GTTATTGCAAACTGCCATGTTCAATTCTATATGAAAAAAAAAAAAAAAAAGAGCCCACATCAGAGATTAGAAATTGAACTTGATGAGCAAACTTCCTTGAACAACTTTTTTGCTAAAAGTACTTATAAATCATTCATCAGTTCTTACCCTGCATGGACCATTTCTCTGTCGCTCTAGCGTGGACCATTTGTCTGTCGTTCTAATTGTAGTGGTAAACAGTTTATAAATGTATGAGATAAGAGGACACAATACAAAGAATAGGGCTATTATATAACTCTGAATGTCTAAATGTCTGAAGTACTTGAGTGATTAATTCAGAACACTCACTTTTAAAGACTAGCCTTATAGGAGGACAGAGATCTAAAGCAGAAAGACGATGAGAAGTGGTAATATCCCAAAATTAACAAAACCCATCTGAGCTCTATCACATTTTTAAGTAACCACAATGTGTAATTTTTCCTTCAACTCTGTGTTCAAAGTCTCATTAGGCTATAGTCTGAGTCACAGTCCAGGTGTCAAATATCCTTCCACTTAATTTAAAGAAAGATCCAATGAAGGAAATAAGAAAATGAGACAGCAAAAACCTGGGCTATCATCTTTTTCATGTGCTTGGCATCCCTAGGATTTGGTGCAACTTTAATTCAAACTGGTGTTAAAAATACCATTTGAAGAGGAATTTTAATATCTACATATAAAAATGTTTCCTTTGAGCAATAGCACTAAAAACCTGTTCAGTCACAGATTTGAGCAGCAAACTTTAACAGCATATGCAGGAACATCATAAAATATTTTTAATGTGACACGGCTACACAGAATTTTGGCCATAACCTGTAAAAATGGAAGTCTGGATGTATTGAGCTTATAAAACTGTGACAGCACCATCTGGTGTCTTCCAATAATACTATTTATGCTATTTTTAGGGGAGGGGAAGGAAATAAATATCCTGTCAACTTTTAAAGCTAAGTTTGGATATAGACAAAGGGGTTTTCCTGGATCATCTAGTCCAAACCTTGCTATTACATGCTGTCATTTACTAATTCCTTCACATCAGTTTATCATGTCTTCTTTAATTCCAGTTAGGTAATTAGAAAATTTCACAGTTCTGTTAATTACAATCTTTCTTCCATTTTTTGTGTATTCATTTTCATATGATCAACTTGCAGTCTTTTTCTTAAATAATAAATCCTTAATTGCTATTTTCCTTCCACTGCATTTAGCCTACCTGATATACCGACAGAGAGCAATCGTATCCCCTTCCGCCTTCCCCTTGTTGACAAACTTTTATCTTTTTCAAAAATAATTCTTCATTCCCTCCTAGCTTCCCTTTTCTGTGTCTTCTACAAGTGCAGTTCATCCTACGCACAACTCCAAGTGGAATTTCTTGAGACATCATGTGAAAGATTTCCGTGACCCCATTGCTGCTGATCCTGCCTGCTAATGCATTTTAAGGTCACAACTGAAGCGAGGGGGCAGTTAATGGGATCCTTCTGAAACTGACATCTTCGTGAACCAGTATACCAACCAATGAGTTCCCAGTTAAGAGCAGAAATAAGTATTTTTAGTCTGTAAATTCATGACCTGGCATTATGTACTATTGAATTTCATCACATTTCTCAGTCAGATCAGTAAGGTTCTCCTGTATTCCACACATGCCTTTCTCTCTGTTGCCAATGGCACCTTATTTTATATCATCAATGAATTTCCCATTTTATTTGTAAGTGCTATGGCCATTAATGTTCATGTTAAATATGATCAATCCCAGGAGTCTGTCTTGGAAAACCTCCGTTAGCAACCTCACACTTCTGGTTTCAGCTGAACGTATTACTATCTTCCATTTGGTCACCTGTAAAATTTGCACTGTATAAATGCTCTATTAAAGTTTGTCAACAAGGTATATTAATATAGGAAAATGCCCAATTAAGTCAGATATGTGCTTCCCATCTCTCAAGCAAGACCAGGAACCTCTGCATATGTCTGAATTGGGCCATATAAACACTCCCACCATTATCCTGAGTATATCTATTTTTCATTATTACATTCAGAGGCTTGTTGATGGAAGCCTTGACAAACATTATCATCTCAGTGTCACTTTTGATTTGAGTGTGGTAGCTTTATGGAAGCATAACACTGTAAAGGAAATGTCACTTGTAAGCAATCTCTAAATCCTAGCTAGGATGTGCACATGTAGCTTGTCCCCTAATACACATCTACTGTCCTGGCAATTAATAGCTTCATTCTGGCAATGGTGGAAGAATTTTAGGGGTGTCCTCTCAAAAGCTGAGCCTCCCACTAGAAGATCTTTCAGCATGACTATGACGCTCAGAACTTGTGGTGTTGCCTTTGCAAGGTGAACATTGTGTTTTGTAGCTCTGCACCCTCTTCTGCCGGTTATTGCTTAAGGAGCAAGATGCAGGACATCTGTTGAGCGAGGAACTTTGTCCATGTGACTACTACCCCTTCAGCAGCATATTCACTGATATGTTTCAACCAAAATAGTGTGAGGCAGGATTCTGCCACTAATTTGAAAAGTGCAGTAATATTTAACATATGCTGTCCACAGTAGACATTGTTTTTTTCTGCACCGCAACTGAACTCTCTATTTCTTTTAGGCCTTAGAGAACAGCATGTAGATGGCAACCTCTACTTCCAAGATTTATTGTTATACCACAGAAGTTATGAGCCACCTAACTAGCACTTAGCATGACTCTCTTCACATCAACATCCAGCATGAGGCACAGATGATCTCTAATCACACATTTCTATGCAGCTTCTGCAGCAGGTTGCACTCTTTACATAGGCTTGGCTAATACGTTTCCAATTTGTCTGTTTTTTTGGAAAGAATCTCTGTTATAAGTTACAGCTTCTTTTAGTTTCTTCACAGTGTTTTCCCTGGAAGATTATTAAAACACTGGGAACTGACATTGCTTTGGAGCTTGAATTCTTGTGCATTAAGAAATTCTGCCTCAGCAGGACTGTGCTTCGCTTGGTGTGTGTCTGTCAGCAGCAGAGCTGCTTGCACTGACACAGAAATACAAATTTGAGCCTTATCCCACACTTAAGCTAAAGGCTGTCTCCAGTCAGTCTGGCTGACCATTCGAGAAAGGAGATGGAGGTACCTGTATCTGACGCTAGTCACAGTAGCTCCCTTCCTTCCCCCCTCACACTGTAGGCTATAGAAGACGATAAGCTTAATAGCAGTAGCTTGTTAGGTCCTGGTAAACCTTTGCTATATTTGGTTACACATGCTGTGTCTTAGGAGACAGGTAGGAAAAGAGCAGTAAGTAAGGTGAGTGCTTGTAATCGAGTTAGTGGTGTACTGCAGGAGAAACTGCCCGGCTGGGATGGCAGGCAGCGCTGGCCCCGTGCTCACACCTTGGCTGCCCTGCAAGGCCGGGGCTGGATTTTGTCAGTTCACCTTTTCTCTGAGTAAGACGTTTAGATAATTCCCTTTATTGGAGAACAAGGAAAATAACCTAGTAACAGGAAAAAAACTAACTTTTTCCTGTTTTTACATTACAAAGGAAAAGCCAGTATCTTGACGGGGGGCTTAGTAAGCCTCCACATGCGAGTAATGAGAAATGTGGAAAATGCTGAAAGTTTAAGAAAGCTGAATGAGCTATTATGGAAGAGAAAGAAATTGCAGAAGGGAGGCATGTTTCTGTCAAATGTTCTTTATTTTTAAGAAGCTATAACAGAAGAATGAACAGGCAGAAAGATATTCATCAGCATCAATCTCCTGGGTTCTTGTAGTTTACCAGAAAATCTGTATAACAAAAGCAGACACTAAACAAACATGGTAAGACATGGCATTTTTTTTCACCGCGACACAGGGAGCACCATCTCACTCTGAAAACCTAATGAGGATCAAACAAGATAAAGCTCCTTTCAACTCTTTTCATATTTTTAAAATGAAAATGCCACTTTCCCTATAAATTCTATTGAACCTTTCCTGCAGCTCCCGTGAGGAGTTTATCTTGGCTGGAACACAGTTTTCTTCTGGAACTTTACTCTGAAGATTTCTTTAGAGCATCCAAGCATTATCAAGAATATTAAATTGACCGAAGTAAATGAAACTAGAACTACAGTAGCAACTATAGTAATTCAAACAATGTCACAGAAGAATGAAGCAGTATTCCAATCTATGGCAGGATTCTGTAATAAAGTGACAGGCAATATAGCTGTTAGCATATGAATAGGAAGATGGATGAAGCATTAACAATGTCAGGTCAAGAAAAGACATATCGCTCAACTAACTCTCTAAATGAACAAACGTATTGGGTTCTTTTAACTCAAAGCACAGTGAGGCGATGGTATTGCTTTACCCTTTGTGTGGTCTCCCGGTGTTAACATCTCTTCTGTTCTTCTCCAGCTGTAAACAAGAATCAGTTTCAGTCTCATAGCTAGGGAAGGCAAAAGAACTCGCTTTCCTGAGCACCTGCAGAGAGATCATATTTTAGTCAGCTTTCCCTGCTGCTGTCTGTCAGCATCAAGAAACCTCCAGGCTGCACTGAAGTCAGCACTAACCCCAAGTCTCTCCCAGGTGGGACCTGCTGGGGTCCTGCCCTTGGCGGGACACCTCACACTCAGTGCAGAGGGAGCTGACCTGCTGACTGAAACCTCCTGAGAGTAGAGAGAGAGGTGGGATTTCTCACCCACCCTGGGGTATGTGTTTTTCATAGGTTTGCTTTTGCCTGTGCCCAGCTCAGCACAGGATCACTGACCTTTGGGGGTATCTATGATGCCTCTTCACGATAAGGCATCAAGTTCGCAAGCTCTGAATTTCTTGCTGGAGGATCTTTCCACTAATGGTGAAGGGAGCCAACGCACCTAATTTAGGCTTTTTCAATACCCTGCAATGCTATCTTCAGTGTTCTTCTGGATTAAGATTCCTAACTTCCAGGTAAATCCCTACTTCCTCAGAATTTAGGCAGCCTAGTCTCTGAAAGCCTAGCTTTTAAACCTTTTGCCATTTTACCTCTTGGCAATGATTGTCCCGACAGGCTGAGAGAGATGTCCACAAAACACCGTGAGATTCCATAACACCTGGAGGATAACACCATAGCAACCTGGAGGAGATTCCTCACCTTTAAATGAAGAAATTTCTAGCCATTTACAGTTTACAGCTGCTTGGATGTTCATTGAAAGTACTGTGTTCTTGTGCCAGGACCGGAACAGAGCTCTGGGGAGCCAGGCAAAGGGAAAATCTCAGATGTTTCTGCAAGCAGAAACAAATAATATGGGAAGAACCTCCATCAACTATTATACCAAACTGGGTGACTACAAAGCATTAACCTAGTTAATTGTAGTTGGGCTTTCAGCAGCAAAGGTAATCAAATATTCTGTTGTTTCCATTCAGGAGTACTTTTAAGGTGAGAAGCGACCACTAGATTATAAATCAGTTGTGAAGAGTTTCATATCTTGCATGTAAATAAAGCGTGCTTTCCAGCAGTTTTTGTTTGTCTGTTTGTTTAATTTGGATGTAAGAGTAGATTGTCTTTCACTTCCCAGGACAGTCTCACTTTTCTCCAATGGACAATCACTGTTTAATCAGTTACTTTTGCTGTAAGTTGCCTTGTCTAGTCTAAACTTTAGTTCTTGTTATGCCTTTATCCACTAGCTTAAAGAGTCTATTAGTACCTGCTGTTATATCCCTGTAATGGTACTTATACAATGTAATCATAACGCCTCTTTTCTTGAAAAGCTGAATGGATTGGGCACCTGAAATCTCTCCCCAGAGAGGAATTATTTCAAATTATTTTTAGTGTTCCTTTCTTAACCTTCTCTAGTATTTCAATATCCTTTTTAAAGTGCAGATACCAAAACTGGACAGCTTCCAGTATCTGTGTCTCTCTGATGCCTCATGCAGAGAGAAAATCTCTTCCCTACTCCTGCTTGTTACTCCTTTGAAACGTCTGAGGATAGCTGCATCCTCTTTAGGCCCCTTTTCCCAAGGAATATAGCACAACTCCTTCCTACTCAGACCCCCAAATCCTTCCCTGTGTGCCGAGTAAACTGCACAGTCCCCACTTCTGCTCCAGAGTGGCTGGCAGTTTTGGTCACCTGCATTTTGGTCACCAGTCGTATTTTTGCATTCAGATCTATTAAAACACATCCTGTTTCAACTAAGCTCATCTTATCTGGTCCTTAATAGGTTATGCGTGTAATGAGAATGTCATGTATCATTGAATAGCACACTTCTGAAAAACCTGTTCTGGCCATGGCTGTGTAACATCACTAACCACACTGATAATTTCCTCAGAAAAACGTGAATCATGTTTGTTTGGCAGGCCACTTCCCATGAAAACAAACTTTATCCATACACTGGATTTTTTTTCTCTCTTGTTTTTCTTGGGGTTGGTTAATATTAAGCTAACTGGCCTGGAACTAGCTGGTCACCATCATTTTTTTTTTTCTGGATCTTATCAGGAAACTGAACACTCAATCTTTCAAGATTTTCCTGTTATGCCAAAATTTATCTGAAGTAGCATCAGAGAGCTGGTTATTCTCTCTGCCCTCCCACCCACTCTTTTGGGATTCATGTGTCCCATTTCTCTGGGTCTGCTGTTTTTTGTGTGTTCTTAGGAGATTCTTCTTAATCTCTCTTTTAGGAGTCAATAATCTGGCAAACACGCACTCCCTCTTTCCAGGTATAAATCTAAAATATTTATTAGTCATTTATACCTTTTCTGCTTTCTCTTCTAATAATAGATCTTACTCTTCCAAATACACAAGTGCTTTTTTGCCTATAGCCCTTAGAGGCATGGATTTTCCCCTTACAGCTTTTGCTTCCCATATGAAATCTCAGCACTTTCCAATTAATGTTGATTGACATCTACTTTCATCTCTCAAGGTTAGTGCTACATCATAATTTTTTCTTCTCAGTTGCTGACTTTGCTTCTCTAGGAATGGGCTTTCAAGGGAAGTTATCCTCTTGCTTGATGGTAGACGTTTTGGTAACCCACCATACTTCCCTGTAAACATCTCTATTTTATTCCCCCATTCACCTGTACATATTCCTCACAAATTCACCTTTTTTTGACTTCAGGGAAATAACTTTTTCAAAGCATCATGTGTGTAAAATATGGTTAAGGCTGTCATCTGTTTGCTTAGATCAATGACAGCTATGAACATAAACTGGAAACAGGCAAATATTAACACTAGCAAGATGCTCAGGTGTCTCATCTAAATAAAAGGGAATGGTATTTCCAGCAGCAGATTTTAGTAAAGAGGTGGCTAAAATAGGCAATATCTATTAATCTTGTGTGACATCCTTCTGTTACTGAAGATAGTTATGGAAAAGCAGAATTTTTGTTACTTACACTAGGATAGATAAACATAGAGTCAGTTATGTTTTGACCCTTTTGAATGGCATTTGAGCCTTGGCCAAAATTCTTTTGGGGTGTTTTAAATTTTTTTTTTTTTTTTTTTTAAATTAAAAATCCCCTGATCTAGTGTCAGGGTTTAACCCTGGCCAGCAACTAAGCCCCATTCAGCTGCTTGTTCAATCCCTGCGCACCCCCCCCCCCCGCCCCCCGGTGGGGTGGGGGGAGAATTGGAAAAGTGAGAAAACTTGTGGGTTGAGGTAAAGAGAGTTTAATAAGGAAAGCAAACCAAGGGATGAATTCCCCACTCCCCATGGGCAGGCCGGGGCTCAGCCACCCCCAGGACAGCTGGGCTCCATCACACGTAACAGTGACTTGGGAAGGGAAACACTGTTGATCCAAACATCCCCCACGTCCCCCCCTTCTCTCCCAGCTTTACACACTGAGCGTGATGCCATATGGTCTGGAATGTCCTTGGGGTCAGCTGTCCCAGCTGTGCCCCCTCTTAACTTCTTGTCTTGTACCTCCCCCCCACACACACTGGTGGGATGAGGCAGAAAAGGCTTTGGCTCTGTCAGCACTGCTCAGCAATAACTAAAACACCCCTGAATTATCAACACTGTTTCCAGCACAAATCCAAAACATAGCCCCATACTAGCTACTGTGAAGAAAATTAACTCAATCCCAGCCAAAACCAGCCCATCTGGACTTTCATGGAGCCAAAATTTAACTATTACTTTCCGTCTGTGTCCACGGAGTTCAAGAGTTTCCAGAGCACGGCTCTGTCCTTCTTCGAGGTTTCACAGTCATTCTCTGCCGTCTCACCTTCCATGTTCTCTGTGTCCGGGTCCGCTGCACGCCTGATTTTGGTAAACGTGCCTTTCATTACCATTCAGAAATGTATGGTGAGAAAATGAATCCATTTGCATTTTAAGCCCTGATATACAAGCAATTAGCCCTCTCAGCCGTGCGTCGTAAGTATATTGTAACTGTCACATTTGCAATTTATTTTTTTTTTTTAACTTAACCCACAGCAGTCAGGAGGAGGGAAAAAAAAAAAAAAAAAATCAAAACCACGAGTCGGAGGTGTGAGGGACTAATCGCATCCGGGCTCCCTGGGGCTCCACTCCTTCCTCGGGAGACGGGCTCAGGCCTCGGCCCCCCGGCCCAGGCCTCGGCCCCCCGGCCCCGGCCCCGGCCGCGGCTCCCCCCGCGCTGCCGGCAGGTGCCGCTGCCTCCCCGCCGCTCCTCCCGCACGCGGCGGCCCCCGCAGCCCGCGGGAGGGGGGAAGCGCAGCCCCCTCCGGCCGGGCCGCGCCGAGGCGTCCGGGGCCCGGAGCGGGAGCGGCGCCGCGCGTTTGTGCGTGTGGAAACACCCCACCCCCCCCCCACACACACACTCCATCCTCCTCCTTCTTCTTCTTCTCCGCGCCTTCCTTCCCTGCCCGGCTGCCAGCAGCGGGGGAGGCAGCTGTGCGGGCAGGGCGAGGGAGGGGAGAAGCGGGGCAGAAGGAAGCGAAGGCGGCGGCGGAGCGGAGCCGGGGAGGGGGGGCGGGCGGGAGGGGGGGGGGGGGGGGGGAGAAGAGGGAGACGGGGCCAGCCCGAGGAAATCCAAACGGCCCCGCCATGAATTAGGCAGCGGGCTGCCGAGGGGAGGGCCCCCTCCATCTCCCTCCCTCCCTCGCTCCTTCCCCGCACGGCGGCCGGCGGGAGCAGCACCGCCCCGCACGGAGCCGGCCGCTCGGGGCACGCCGCGCAGCACACGGACACGGACGCGCACGGGCGTGGGGGGCGGCGGTGGTGGAGGGAGGGAGGAGGGGGGGGGGGAAGGAGGGGGAGGAGGAGGAGGAGGAGCGGGCCGGCCCGGCAGATGAAGATGGCAATGTCTGTGATCCAAGCGTGCCGCAGCCTGGCTTTCTCAACATGGCTGCTGTCCTTTTGTTTCGTGCATCTGCTGTGCCTGGACTTCACCGTGGCCGAGAAGGAGGAGTGGTACACGGCCTTCGTCAACATCACCTACGCCGACCCGGCGGCCGGCAGCGCCGAGCTCCGCAGCGAGAAGAGCGAGTGCGGGCGCTACGGCGAGCAGTCGCCCAAGCAGGACGCCCGCGGGCAGGTGGCCCTCTCCGCCTCGCCCGCCGACCGCTACGCCTGCGACCCCAGCACCCGCTTCAACGCCCCGGCGCCGGGCAAGAGTTGGGTGGCCCTCATCCCGCGGGGCAACTGCACCTACAAGGACAAGATCCGCCACGCTGCCGCCCAGAACGCCTCCGCCGTGGTCATCTACAACGTGGGCTCCAGCAACGCCAACGAGACCATCACCATGCCCCACGCAGGTGAGCGCTGTGGGGCACCCTCCCTGAGGTTTTGCACCGGCTGGGCGGACGGGCCCGCTTGCCTTGGGGTGGGAGCTGATGGCGGGGCGAGGTGTCCTTGCACCTCTTGGCAGGGAGCAGGGTGGACTGTGGGCCTCGCCGGGCGGTGGGTGCCCGTCCCCGGGGGACGTGGAGCACCCCTCCGTGCTGCCGTGGCAAAGGACGGGTACGCTGCTAGCAGCAATGCACGCGGGCGCTCCGGGGGTGAAAAGTTCGGGAGGTGTAAAGTTTGGGTCTCGTCGGAGGAATCCTGAGCCTGCTGTGGGGCACCGACGTTTTGTCGTGTCCTGAGGATCCTCTGGCAGGTGCCGCGTGGGATCGGGTGTGATTGAGACCTTCGGAAGAGGAGAAGCGTAGTTAGTGTTTATGGTACAGGCTTATCAGGAGGTGCAATAAAGGTAGGGAACACAGCGTCCACTGTCTCGCCTGCGATAGTGTAAAAGCCAGGGGATCGAGTAGGAATGCCGAATATCTGATCTGGTGAGAACATGAGGTATTTTGCCCAGGACTGGGGTGAGGCGGGGACTGGGTGGGTGGCTCACTCTCCCAGGTGAACGCTCCGATGGAGTTCGCGCTCACGGTGTCAGCACATGGGTGCTCCGGTCCCAACATGTGCTCGTCAGCTAGAACCCAGCAGAAATCCAGTCGTCGGAACGACCCAAAGCTCGGGTTGTGCGCACAAAAAGCGCTGGTTTTGTAACAGTGTTTGATCTGAAATAATGTTGTTTTAAAAACAGATCACCAGATTTATATTTAGGGACGGTGTTTACTGCCAGGGGTCACTGGTCTTTTATACCAGCAGCCTATGCCATGGAGACTAAAATGCCACCTATTGTGAAATCTCAGTTTGGTTTGCATCCAGTAACTAATCATGCCCAGCTGTTTCATGCCAGTTGAATCTTAGCAGAGTTAGGGGCAAACTGAAACACAGAAAAGCTGCAAAACAGGATGTTATTCTAATGACAATTTAAATTTCCACAGTAAACTAGCTAGCGTGGATGTGCTGAAAAACAATGTTGCCCGACTATAATGCTATAATACTGCTGATTTAGAAGTAACACTTTTGGAACCTCTTGTGTGCAGCCTCTTTAAGAGATTAACTGTTTATTTGGGCAAATTCATGTTTCTTTGGTAGGACTAGATGAAGATGGGGTTTTTTTACTACTTTCCACTGGTTTTGTGAGACAAGCAACTCATAACCTCCTGAGCTTCTTAAAATTGTGCTTTATAACCTGCACATGGTTTAGTAGCTGTTCACATTATACTTCTTGGTACTTTAAGTATCACAGATTATATACGAAACAGTATAAAGTAGTAAGAGATTGGCATACTTATGCACCCTTAAAGTAAAGCTCAGACTGTTTCAAAACTTAAGACGCATCGCTTGTTCTTGTGTAGTGAGTTTCTCTAAAACTGCCAACATGTTGGATCAATTAATGGTTTGCCTGTTTTTAAAGTATGCACTAAGCTGGTTTCCTACACAAATGGTGTTTTATTAAGAAACAGTGGGAGTAAAAAATGTGTCTAACCTTTTAAAATGTTAGAGCTTTTGTTTGTTTTAAAGTCTAAAATGAAGTAAGCAGGGAATCTTTCCTACTGAAAGTGGCCTCAGCTTTCAAAAATACAAACACTGTATCACTTATCTTGGGGGCAGTTTCTTTTATGTCATATGACTCCTTACAGTTTATTCTGAGAATCCTTTCTGTGTACTGAATTGATACCCAGCAGTGTGATCGTATAGTACCAGAGGCTGAAATGAAAGGAAACTTGCAGAAAATAAGCTGAACTTGTTGAACACAATCAGTGAGACTTGAAGGGCTTTGCTGATTGATTATATGAGGTTGTCTTCATTTTGACGATTTTTGTTTTGTGAAGTTGAAAACCAGTTGTTGGTCTTACCTTAGGGAAAACCCAGCCTCTGCGTAAAGTCAAAACTCAGAGGAGTTCTAGAGCATAAGTCTGCTGGAATAGGAGGAAAAATAATTATTCTTAAACAAATACTGTACAAACTAGCAGGGATTCAGAACTGGATTTATCTTTATGCTGAGACAAAGTGAACGTACAAGCTGTGTAAAGTTATCTTTCTGACTTGCAGCCTTTGACGTTTGCTTGGTCCCAGTCTAAATGATAGCACAAGATTCAAGGGAAGAATGAATCAGGTTCTTGGTTTCTGAGTTCAGCAGCATCTGCGGTGTTCTGCCCACGCCAAATCCTGGAGTGGGAAGAAGAAAATTCCATCCTGGAAAATACTTGGGGGGTGGGAGGGGAGAGTGAAATATGACCTAAAAAGCAATTTAAAAGTCAAAAGAAACATGATGTTACTTTTTTTTTTTTTTTTCTCGTACAGATTATTCTTTTTTTTGAGGTTTCATGTAAGATTAAATAAACTTTCTATACAGAAAACAGTATATACAGTATATCTTATTGCATAACAATGTGCTCCTGCCATTACTAAAAAACTATTACTTCTAAGAGAGATGTTTTCCCTTATGTACCTTCTTCTCTTCTGTATGCTTTGCCTTATTTCTTTTACTGTCATTTTATCTCTTTGTGCTTATTTTTCTGCTCTTCTCACCCCCACTCTCATTTCTTCATCTCTAACCCTGTGCTTCATTCCCTCTCTTGACCACGTTACTGTGCAGCTTTGTCGTGCTTTGTCCTTGCCACTTTCTTCCCAAAGCTTGCTTTCTCCTGCCAAAGATCTTACCTCACAGCTGTATGTTTAATTACGTTTCCTGTTTTCTGCTACAATGCATGCCAATGATCTCTTGTTAACATGATGCCTCCTGATTTTAAAACATATGCGCAACTGTAGCAAGATACCATTCTTGAATTTGAAGGAGGGTTGGTTGACCTCCCTCCCCTGCCCCCTCTTTCTCCACCCCCATCCCCCCCCCCTTCCCCCCAGTCAAAACCAGGCTGGTATTATATCAAAGCTGCTTGTGGAAATCTTCAAATACAGCTTTCCAGGATTTATTTATAGTGCACCAGACAGAACAGACCAAGTGTTCTATTTGAACTGGTTCAGTCACCATATTGAAAGCCTTTGCTTTTGGGGAGCTTGTGCTCAGGTCACTGCTTGCACATCCAGGAGAGTGAGGTAGAGTTGTGACACCCGTGTTCACAGGGGTTGCAGAGCCCTGTGGTTCTCGTGCTAGGACACACTTAGCTTTTGCATCATCTGCTACAGCCTTTGCAAACCGGCTTCTTTATTTTTATTGGCTTGAAGTATGGTATAGGAGCTGTGAGTCCAACTTTCTTTGTTTTTTGACTAAGTAGGTTTTAACCAGAGAAGGAAAAAAACCATCTAGAATTTCTGTTGCAGATGCTTTTTATTTCTCTTAAATCAACTTTCCTAGTAGAAAAGTACTCTAATAATATAGAGGATGTTCTTTTTCCTCCAGAAGAATAAGCCATGGTGTTGGCTAGGGTTTCTGATTGACATTTTTTCTTACTCAGAACAAAATAGCTGTTATTTAGGTTTGAAAAGGCTCTAGCTACTGTGTCTGCATTTAATAACTTAGTATGAACTGAAAATCTTCTTACTACCTGTTGTAGCATGTGTCCTAACAACACTTCCTCTGAGGTCTGAATAGATACAGTAAGGGAACCTTCCAGAAGATAATTCGAGGTGAGAACTTCCCTCTTTCCAGCTCTTACTCGAGGGAACCGCGGTTGACTGCTTCTAACTTGGGCACCTGTCAGGTGCTTGGAGCTAGGGAGGGATGTTAACTGTGACCAAACACATGATTTATGTGTGGGTAAAAATCAGATCTTTAGTATTCAATACAGGTTGTAACATTCAGTTTTAATTCTGGGGTGCATCAGAGTATCTCACAGAATAGATACAATTATTATGTGAAATAAATTGCATCCTAAGTGTTTTGCACCAGAAGCATATTTGAGTCAGGCAGTTTTGCATTCTCCGTATTCTGCTTTTCCAGTGCATGCCATAACAAAATTGAAGTCACGTGCTGTGTGTATGACAGCCCGTTTTCAATGAGAGGCAGATGCCTTGTTTTTTGTAATGACTCGTACACACTGGCAGCAACCGTCAACTGTATCTTTGAGACACGGATCTCATATGTGGTCTAAGATGACTCTGACTTCTTCCCTCCTCCTTTGGCCCTCAAGTGCAGCATGTGTGTGCCAGATTGCATGAGGAGGGCACTGCAAAACCAGGTGCGTCCCTCCACACATACTTTGGATGTGGCCAGCCCTGATCTGTGCACATTCAATTCAGTAACAGTTTCTTCCCTTGTACTGATTTTTTTTTTTTTTGTTCCACAATCAATGATTAGTCCTGCCTTTTACATACTTTAAGATGTGTTGGTAGTAGTTTTGGCTTTAGGCTCCCCTCTATATTTGTACTGATGTGCAAATTAAACACTGAAATTGAAGATTTCTCTCTTTACAGACTTAATTCAGTACTGTAGCTACATTTGTTCCGTTCCCAAAACAATTGTTTTCCTAAACTTTTGTTGAATTCTAATGAGGAAAATGTGCTGACAGCACTCACGCTGAATTTACATATGGATAAGTGTGAATTAATCAAAGGTTGGAGATTTCGGGCTTCCAGGGCCTGCTATAATTATTTTTTGTTTTGGGCACCCAGGATTCATTCCTAATAGAAACCAACTCCATGGGGGAGGGAGATGGAAATTAGTGCATCTCTGAACCTTATCTGTCATGAAAGTGAGGCATGGCTGGGGTGTGCTGCCATCCTTAGGAACTCAGAGGAGCTCCTGGATCCATCATGTTGGCTTGGATTTTAGTAGGTTTTGAAAATCTGGTGATCAATATTTATCAAAAACAAGGATTTATAACGTTGGGCAGAGCCAGCAGCGGTGCTGACGAGCCGTCTCACTGGGCTCACTCGTGAGCCGCGCTGCTGCCTACTACCTCTGCTGTGGTTCAGTGCCAGGTTTCTCTATGGCAGATGTGGTCAGTCATGCCAAGTG